GGCTGAGGCTGGAACAGAGCTGGTTTAGATTTAATGGGATTAAAGGAAAGGAAGCAGCTGCCTTTGGCTCTCACTGGAGCTGGCAGAGGGACTGAAGCCACCAGAGGACAGAGCTGGTCCACCTGAGCTCATCACAGAGAGGAGGTCACTGCCACCATGGTTCATTTATAAATTACCAGCTTGGCCACTGCCTGACCTGGCTGTGGCTCTGCTCTGAGCACACCCAGAGCCAGAAACTCTGGGGAGCCTGTGGAGAGGCAGCACAGACCTGGCCCCAGCGAGGCCCAACATTAATGCCTTCCTGGGCAGAGTTAATTACAGTAATGAGCCTCTGTTAATCAAGCAGCTCTATCGAATTACAGTGAACTGCTTTAGTATTGTTTCTTCCTCATGGAAAGGCTGGTGGGGGCTGTAGGGATCCATCCTCTGCTTTCCCCCCCGTGCCACCCCCACATGGCCATGGGGAGACCGTGGGACATTGGGAGCCACTTTTTGGCTTTACTTGGGTTTACTTTGCTTGTTTTGTGAGTTCTGAGCCTGTTTCCTGGCTGTGCACAGAATCACAGAATCAAAATTGGCAAAGACCTTCAAAATCATCAAATCCAACCATAAAATGACGGGGACTATGGGGGTGTCACATCCCAGTGGCATCTGGAAATTGCATCCCAGCATCTCTCTGGCAAACAGAGCTGTTGTCGACAGCAAAACCTGTGTTTTCTCTTTATAACTTCTTAAAACATTGATTTGACAGCTAATTTCTAAATGACTGCAGAGCCAGCTGACAGGAGACTTTGCTCCCTTTATTTTAAGGGCGAGAATATTGAATAAATATAAAATATTTAGAGCTGGCAGAGGGACCGGCCCAGCTATACTGAAACAGGCCTAACTCCAGAGCTGGTGCCCCAGCCCTGTTGAGGACCCAAGTGCTCTGATGCTCCAGAGTTACTGTTCCTGGCTGTGTTTCCATTACCCACCTCCCCAGGGGTTTTTTGGGGTGATGGGAGGGTCGCGGTGCCCCTCGTGCCCGGGCTGTGCTGTGCCCGTGGTGTTTTCAGGGCAGTCTGTTCAGCACAGCCCCGCTGCCATTTCCTCTTGTTGCCTTAAAACCGAGATTAAAACCCCCTAATCCCTCCTGCATTCCCACTCAGCCCCCTGACTCCACCCAGGAGAGGGCAGCGCTGGGGAAACTGAGGCAGGATCGCACTCGGAGGTGGACGGGGCAGTGCCAAGGGGGTGACTGGGCTCCCTGTGCCCTGCCAGGTTGCATAATGCAGGTTATTTTTAGTATTGATTTGTGCTCCCTGCTCCCCCCTGTCCATGCTGCAGGAATGTGGAGGACGTGTGTCGCTTCCCGGAGCTGCCGGCCCGGAGGCAGCTCAGCTACCAGGCCAAGCAGCTCATTGCCAGGGAGATCGAGCTGGAGAAGATGAGGAGGACGGAGGCTGTGCTGCAGGCACGGAACCCGGTAGGGAGGGGGGACCTCTGGGGGGTGGCAGGGCTGTGGATGTGGATAAAATCCTTAGGGATGGCGTGGGGACGTGGGTTTTCCAAAGCAGCCGGTGGCTTTCGCTCTGCAAATGGAAATCCGGGATTAACCCCCCCTCGCAGCTCCTGGCCTGCACATCTGCCTCTGGGCAGCACAGCTGTGCTGGGGGGCTGAGCCCCAGTCTCTGCAGGAGTTCTGGAGGGAAACGCTCACTGTGAGTCAAAGCTTTGAACCCTCCAGCTCTCTGAGGAGGGTCGTGAGGAGGTGGGAATTTTAGGAGGGAATTTGGGTCCGTTTGGCTGTGGTTTGTAGGTGTCTACTCTTCCCTGCCTGCACCTTTCCTTCCCACTTCACTTCCAAAGGTCCCAAAGGCCCCAGGAGGAGCAGAGTTAACTCTGCCCACTGCCAAAACCCTCCTGGAGGGAGGAGAAGGTGGAAAAGGCTGAGAAACATCTCGGACGTAGCTGTTGCCTACCCCGGTGCCGTGGGGATAATTAATCCCTGAGAGCCCCTTGCTGCAGGAGCAGAGCTCCCGGGGGATGTGTGGGGCAAAGAGATGCTGCAAAAACATCTCTGAAGGCTCCTTGTTTACTGTGAAGTCCCAGGGAAAGGGACCCCAGCTGGGGCTGATCCCATGAGCTGCTGCAAGGCAGAAAATGATGGAAAAATCCTGTCCAAGCCCTCGGGATGTTGCAACCCGGCAGCAAATAGAGGGGGTGGCTGGGACGGGTGACAACTGGGTGGCAGGTGCTTCATACCCAAACTTTAGGCTCAGACACTGCGAGGGGTCCCTTGTTGAGGTCTCTCCTCCCCACAGGATCCCAGGAATGGCCTCAGTGAGGAGCGAGGGGACACAAGGCTGTCGGGGACCCCCAACCACCGGCAGCGCCTGGAGCACATCGTGCAGAGGGCAGCGGTGGAGGACAAGGTGAGGGGCTGCAGGTCCTGCCCCAGTTCCTAGCAGCACTTCCCTGGGCTGCCAAACACTCACTGGCTCCACTGGAATCTAATTTTTTTAGCCCAGTTTCTTTTAATAGCCCAGTTGAGCACCGTGTGTCCCACAAAGGCATCACTGGGATCACAGCTTTGGGACCAAGTGGATCTGGGTGACATTATGGACCTTCACCCCATGAAGCTTTTGGGGCTGGGGGAGGAAAGAGATCTGGGGTTTTGGGTTGAAATAGCTGAATTTGGGCTCTGTGGAAGCTGCAGGGTGGGAGGGCTGCTCGGGAGCTGTGGAGAGGTGCATCCATCCACTGATCCCACTCTGGGCATCCCAACAGTGGCCAAGGGGAGCAGAGGGTGACAGGTTTAAGGGGAGCAGAGGTGGTTCCCTGTCACTGCCCCTCTCCAGGGCTCAGCTTCCAGCCCTTGCCTGGCTGTAAAACCTGACTTTAGCACCCTGAAATTTTGCCTTTCCCCCCCACCCCGGATTTGAATCTGTTTGCATCCCCCCGAGCCTGCTGGCCCTTCCCTCGGGATTTGCATGTGGCTCCTGCTCTCCCTGGAACCGCCCTGGGGTGACTGAGCCTTGCCCAGACAGGAACTTCCCTTCTTTTTGGTCATCTCCAAAGGGGAGCTGGAAGTGCAGGTGCTGCACAGCCACCTCACCTCCTGCTCTTTGCCTTTCACAGCCCGAGGTGGATTTTTTCGGGCGGCCGCTCCAGCGCAAACAGGCGGCCCCGGCCCCGGGTGGGTGACAGGGATGGGGTGCTGTGGGTGGCCCCAGCCCTGGGAGGGTGACAAAGGGGATGGGGGTGGCACAGGTGGGTGGCAGAGGGATGGGGTGACCATGGGTGCTGCTGGCGGGGGTCCCTTCATTCCCAATGCCCACCCCAAAAAGGGGCTGTGTCCCTCAGCACCATCCCCAGGGACATCAGTGGGGTGGGGAGGGGGAGTTGGGTGAACAGACCCCACAACAACGGGCAGGGGGGGTTCCTGTGGGCAAGTCCATGGGTTCTGGCACCATCCAAATGGAATTCTGGGTGCTGAAGGGTTTGCAGGACCCAGGACATGGGAGCATCAGCTCTGCCCTTCCCAACCCCATTCCTGGCAGCAGCTCCCTGATTGCCCCCTCTCCCTCCAGCCTGGTTGTGACTTTAAGGTTTTCTGCAAGTTTTTGAGGTGGATTTTCCCCCCCTGCAGCCCCCCAGGCCTCCAAGGAGGAGTCCCTGGAGAAGCAGATGGGAAAGGCCGTGGGGAAGAGCGACGTGTGGTTCCGCTTCAACGAGGGGGTTTCCAACGCTGTCAGGAGGAACATCTACATCAGGGACCTGCTCTAGCTGGAGCCAGGAAATCAGGGCTGGAACTCAAGGGATCAGCTGGACTTTGGCTCTCTAACCCCTGTGTCCATGATCTTCGTTTAGGTTTTTTTTTATCACCGACTTATTTTGTTTTAAAAAAATAAGGAAATAAAATGTATCTAAAAAAATGAATAATGAAGTATTTTTCTGTTTATTAATAAACCTTTAGTTGTCATATTATGCCTGTTTTGCTGCAAAATGAGATATCCTACAGTATACAAAAGTATTTAAAATCACTGAAAATGAGGGTTTCTTTATAAAAATTTTCTTTACAAGTTGCAAAATGTTCCTGTTTGATGGCAGAGCTGGGTGAGGTCTGAGATGAAGCTGCAGCAAAACCCCAGAGAAACCTTTGCTGCTCCTGCCCCC